CCTTGATGAACGTTTCTGCTTTGCTATTTACAAAGGAGAAGGACATCGTGGATTGAGAGTTGAGAGAAGGGTACATTGATATTCTAAGGCATGTCAATGTGAAAAAGATGGTGATGCTGGGTATTTTGACAAGCATTTAGACCTCATGGGATCTATCACAGAATGCTGAGGGAGATGAGGTCGGAAATTTCTGGGGCTTTGTATGAAAGCTTGATATCCTGTCATTACAGGAGAGGTCCCAGAGGACGAGAGAATAGCTAATGTTCCTTTGTTGAAGATACAGGCCAGTAAGCTCTAGGTCACTGGTAGGGCATTTATTGGAGAATGTTCTTAGAGGACAGGATTTACTCACATTGGATAAATATGGACTTATTAGAATAGGCAGCATGGCTTTGTGGTGATAGTCATGTCTCAAGCTTGGCTGAGTTTTTTTTTGAGGAAGTAACAAAGATGATTGAGGGCTATGGTAGGTTGTCTACGTAGACTTTAGCAAAGACTTGGCTAAGGTTCCTCATGGCAGGCTGAGTGACAAGGTGAATTCACATGGGATCTGTGGTGAGTTGGTAAGATGGATACAGAGCTGCTAGGTCATAAGACAATAGTAGTGGAAAGGGTGTTTTTCTGACTAGTGTTGCGTAGGCGATCTGATTTGCAAAGTTTTTGGACAGTGCAAAGATTGGGGAAGCTGCTGATAGTGAGAGGATTGCCACAAGATATAGATAGACTGGAGACTTGGGCAGAGAAATGGTGGACGGAATTTAATCCAGACAAATGCAAGGTTATGTGTTTTGGAATGTCTAATCCAGGAGTACAGTGTACAGTAAATGGCAGAACCTTTTAGAAGTTGCAACATAAATGTCCAAAATTTGCAAGATTTGGGTCCACAGGTCCCTGAAAGCAGCAATACAAATGATTAAGGTGGTCACTTACTCATGAACATGTGGGTTTAAGGTAAAAGCAAAAATGTTGAAAGGCGATGTGAGGGGCAAGGTTTTTAGAGGGTGGGATGCCCCTAAGATACGTGACCAGAGGAGGTGGTAGAAGCCAATAGAATAGCAATGTTTAAGAGGCATCTGGACGGAAGGCAGAGAATAGAGGGATACAGACTTCATAGGGGCAAAAAGACTTCAGTTTACGAAGGTGTCATGTATCAGCAAAGGCTTGGTATGGTCGAAGGCCCGGTTCCTGTGCTGTACAATCATTTATTTTTGTTCTTTATAAGCTGAAACAGTTGTGAATCACCATGCTGCATTGACTTTTTCAAATTAAAAAGTCTCCTCTCACTTGGTACCTGTTACTTGTAAGCAAAAATGAATTGAATGAGGGGATTAATCAGAAAAGCATCCTTCTGTACACCACAACAGTAATTACATTTAAAAGAAATGTTTGAAGATTTACAACTCAATGAGCAATGGGGTGGTAAGATGTAGGATGGTCGCGAGGTAAGGCTTTTAAAAATTGTTGAGTTTTCTCAGGCCATTCTATTGTCTATGCTTAATCTCTAGAGTAATGTTTCCTTCGGAACCTTCTCCAACTTTCAATCACTTGAGTCTTAAGTTTTGTTTCTTGTCATGTGTATTGCAGTACATATGGTGCTTAACCAGAGAAAAGTATAACACCCAGTGTACATTAGGGTTGCACTGCCTCTGTGTTGGCATATAGCTTCAACTTTGTAATTTTGAATTTAATAAATACCTCTGTCACTGAGGTTTGCAAGATTTATTAGCTAAACTGTGGATTGCATTGTAAGGTATTTGCAGATATAGATGAAGCATGTCATCACCGTTTTAAGTAGGAAACATCGATAATGCGTGTTTGTTTTCCTTAATGAATCGGGGGTGAGGTCATCTAAGGAAGGTGATTTAGAATATTTGCTGGACATTGGGGTACTGCACAGTTTGGTTAGTGTTTATCATTGTGTTGACGTGAACTCTAGGAATGGCTTCAAAAGGATAAGAGTACCTTGGTTATTTAAATGGCACAATGGTTCATCCTACGCTAGTGCACAGCTGTAAAACATGGTTAAACATAGATTGCCATGACTATCTTTACAAAAGGTATGACTTTTCACTGTGAGGCTATGTGCCACACTTTGTGATTAGAAGTAAAATAATTCATCATTTCAGCATCCCAAGAATTAGTCTCATTATTCCCTGAAATGTGGCATAAAATTCCTGCCAGCTGTTTTTTGAATGTAGGAGCTCCAATTAATTGATCAAAATGATGAAACAAACTCTTCTGTATCAAACGCACTTGGCATAATTTTTTTTTAGAAAAAGGCTCCAATCTTTTGCTCTGTGGATAGTGGGAGATTGGGCACGTGATAGAGATGCATGCGAGGACCTTTTCAGAAGTCCTGATGCAGTGACTCCACAGTGGATGGCGGCAGTGAGTTTGGACAATTCCGACTGACTTAGCTTGATAATTACCTCGGACCTACTAGATTAAAACAATGTCTAAACCCTTGATAACTATAAATGATTAACCTTGCCTCAGTCAAACCCTCAACTTCCCTGACGAGATGCATGCACCAAATTCTGACTCCTTAAGCTGACTACTCATCTTGTAACCCTTCCTACTCTGCCGTTCGTCTCCCTTGCCTCACTCGTACACACTCAACACTAATACGTTGAAAAGCTGTCTGGATGTCCCAGAGGTTTTCAGCATGTTTGTGATTGAATGTAGCATAATGATGCTATTGCATTTATGAAAAAAAGGGCATAGCATGTCTTCCCTCAACAATCCAGAATCACAAAGAAGGCCTTCTATTTTGTATACGTTCCATGCTTCTGAAGAGAAAAGCATCGTGCGTCCTGGCCAGAAATGTGAGTTTGATTGTACCCAAAAATGTTGGAGTGCGTGGCAATTTGACCATGACTGCCACTCCTCGGAAGATTGGGACCAAAATATTTTTAATCTTTTTGTAGCAAAGCTTCATGTTGCATTACTGTTAGGACGATGCAATAGGAGATCGGCAACATAATTATTTTAAAGAAAAAAGCAAATGGCATTGTGCATTCTAAATCACCAGTGTAGGTTTATCCATTAATTGATTGGGGCGGCACGGTGGGTCAGTGGTTAGCACTGCTGCATCACAGTGGCAGGGACCCTCTGGCGACTGTCTGTGTGGAGTTTGCACATTGTCCCCATGTCTGCGTGGGTTTCCTCCAGGTGCTCCGGTTTTCCCCCCACAGTCCAAAGATGTGCAGTTAAGGTGGATTGGCCATGCCAGATTGCCCATAGTGTTCAGGGATGTGTCGCTTAGATGGGTGATGGGGAATGGGTCTGGGTGGGATGCTGCAAGGGTTGATGTGGACTTGTTGGGCCGAAGCACCTGTTTCCACACTGTAGGGATTCTATGTATTGAGATAATATGAAAAATTGAGCCCCACCACCATTAAAATGTTTTCTATATACTAATAGCGTGTTATACTTTCTACATGGGTACTGAGACCAATTCAGGTCATGTTGAGCTCGACCCTGTAGAGAGTTATCGAGTTAACTGAATTCACATCTGTGGTTTCAGATTTTCTTGCTACGACTCAGCATATTTGAAGTCAAACAGTATCTGGTCCGTGAATATTTGAATCCTGTTGCAGTACGTGTCAGATGAAAATCAACCAAGATGGGCAAAGTTAAGGCTTTTCTAAAGCAAAAATGTCTTACTTACTTTTCTAAACAAAAAATGAAAATTGTGATGAGACAGGAGTGTGTGTCTGTATATGTACAGTAATATTTGTTTTAATTGGCAAATGGTTACATCTGAAATACCAGATGTTTACTGTATTATTGATCTCTGATGTCCAAGTAACCAGTTAAGGGTGTGATTGAGAAGGCTCTCTGCTGGTAAGTTTTATTTAAGGCAAAGTTGTATCATTGTTTGTGATTTATGCTGTAGATAAAGGATAATAGTGATGTGTATACTCTCAGCATTACATTTCTATTACATAGTGTTTGTTTTTACTTTGATTATGTCAACCTCTTGATCAACCAGAATATTTGATCATCTGACACACTCCTGGTCCCATAGGTGCCATTTAATGAAATGTTAGCTGTGTATGGTTTTGCATTTGTATTTTAGAATAGTAGAACATGTAGTTGGTTACTTTTCTGAAGGATTGGAAAAATTGAAGTATTTTCAGAACAGTGACCTAATCCAATCTGTGTCAAAGAGCAGGGAACCATTCGAATGTTTAGGAAGGGAATTGGTTTGTTTGTGCTGGTTTATGACAGAGTGTATATGTTGAAGGTTGTTTAGCTTCCTTTTGGTTCAGGTCAGAGGTATCTTGACAGGGATTAGAAGAAAATATAGTTTCTCTCCTACAAAAGGTGTGTGGACCAGTTCGCGAAAAGCACATGTGCTTCAGGAGACAAGTTTCAGTTTATGCACCTTCTAGATGAGGAACCATTGATTTGGAAACCTACAAGTATTGAAAGCTGAAGAGTTTTCATCTCTTTTGCACGTATTCAGTTGAGGAGACTCCACAGTTCACGGTAAAGAACTGGGGGAATCACTGTTGAACTGAAAGATTTAATGTGATGGCTAATTTCTCCCTGGATTTGACTAACTGTGAAGAGTTGGTGTTGAGGTATAGCTCAAATCTTTGGTTTGCTGTGTGAGTTTTAAGTGTTTTTTAAAACTGCTGTATATCTAAGTGACACTTTTTCTTTGTTTTGTGTAATAAACTTCAACCTTGTGTGATTGTTTAAATCAATGAACACCCAATTAAACAATTTTTTTTAAACTATCCATCAGGCCACATTTCATTCTGGGACCTGAGTTGTCCAGTTGTACCATTAGTTAGGATCATGACAAAGATTCCCACCTCAGTATTGACTAGATCTGTATCCTTGATTTTGGTTTATTGGTTCAGAATTGCTTAAGGTAAAATTCAGATCAATTTTGCTAAATTGTAGACTATTATTTCTATATTATTTGTTGTCCAAATTGGGTATTTTGAAGAGTAATTGTTTCAAACCCTTCTCATTTTTTTTTTCAGGCTCTACTGCAAGGAGTCCAATTGTAACACCATGAAAGGCATCTGAAAGTTTCCAAACACAGGAGTGTTTTGCTCATTGAGATTATATTTTGCCATCCGTCATGCCAATAGAGTGAAACTTCTATCTGTTGACTACTTGCAATCTGTATAAATGGTAGTCCAAGCAGTTGGTCTTCAGTCACACCTGGGGTGAGCAGCTCCAGATAATTATTCAATACCAGTAAGGAAAATGTTGCAAGAATTAAGAATGCCGACAACTTAGCTTCATGCATCCAACCTGTCCAGTTGTTGTGGAAGGCCCACCATCTGAGGGATCCTCAATCTCTTATCAAGGCCTCACATCTGCTCCTGAAATGTCTCTCTTTCAAGCTTTGGGTCCAGTGCAGACCTGGTTAGGACAAGAATTGGAGAAATGTGGGATTGATGCCATGATCTACACACGATATGTCCTCAGTCTTCTGCTTCATGACAGTTATGACTATGACTTGCAGGAACAGGTATGCAATTACATTACTCAAAATGAAATTAGTGTTCAAGTGACTTGTTTAGAGTTCCCCGATCATGAAATGAGGTGTTTCCATGGTTTAACATAGTGATTCTGAACATTGAATGTTATGTTAAAACAAATTTAGATTGAATAATTGTCTAAGCTAGATTTTTTTCTGTAACTGCATCACCAATGAAGCAATTTGTTTGTGTTAATTTATTGATGGGTCTCTTTATTGCTGACCACAATGCAAGAATTAATGTTTCTGTTAGCTATCAGATGCCAGTAAGTACTACTTAACATAGAATAGTTAAATCTGGCCTCCCTCCCCCAAAACACAGAAGGCCAATTGAAAGTTTGAAAATTGAAATTGGTAGTGTTTTTTTCCTCAGCAAGAGTGTTGATGATTACAGAATCAAGATGATCAGATGGAGTTGAACTACAGATTGGCTGTGAATCTGTTGAATAGCAGAACAGGCTCTGTGGCTTGAAGGATTACTCCTGTTCCACTGTTCCGGAAGTTTTGGAATATAACATTTAACCTATCAGTGCTATAATTTACCTCTAGTGTATTGTTTCTATTTGAAACTTTTTACTTGCCTGTTCTTTGGTTTATAGCTATCTACATCCTTCTGCAGGCTCCTTACATTGTCTTTACAAAACGCTTTTCTTTCTAACTTGCTGCCTGCGAATTTCACGACCATATCTTTGCTCCCCATCTAAGTCATTGCAGAAAATTGTAAGAAGTTGAGACCCCAGCATGACCCCTACAGATTTCCATTCATCATGCCCTGCCAGTCAGCTGAGACTTAGTTACGCATACTCTGTTTTCTACTAAACTGCCAATCTTTACCCATGCTCATGTATTACCCAATGAGCTTTTATGTTTTGCAATAGCATTTGTTGTGGCACATTGTCAAACATGTTGTGGAAGTCCAAGTACAGCTCATCTACCCACTCCCTTTTATCCATTGTACTTTGTTGTGGGTAAATCACCACAAGTTATCCTTAATTTGGCTACTTATTCAGAAATCTCTCAGACAATCAAGTACGGAGACAATGATTTAAACTTGATATTGCATGTAGGAACCAAAATAAGACCTCCTCAAGTAAGCAAGTTAAGCTTCACAACATGGTTTAATATGGCTTTTATGCAATTAATGGTAGAATCTGGCCAGGATTCCAAACAAATGTCTCTCTCTGGAAATGTCCATAGTTTGACCTTTATGCAGTGTTCTTCTTTGAAGTTCTGCTATTGAATTGTTCTGATGTTGGATTTTTATACAAGTTTCTCTTAGTAGTGTGATGTGATATTATTGATGATTGAATGGATTCTTTCATCCCCAACATTGATTACATTTCTGGTCTACAGTTTGCTGCCTTATCAGAAGTTCCTTGTTACATTCTGAGTTAGCTGTCTGCTTAAAAGACAGCTTTTCCTGCAATTAACCCCTTTATTTCAGGATCTTTATTCTGTAGGCAGACCTATTTGGCCATTTGTCATGAGTTAGATTATCAAGCAGCGTTGTCTTCTCTCCCCCAGGAAACAGCTTGTTGTTTGAACTCCTTCCCAGGGATGGTTAATTTGCATGCAGTTTTTAATTCCTTTATTACAGCTTCTCCTTTTCCTTTACATCTTGAGAAACTTTATTCTGGAAAGAATAATTGCTGGCTCTTTGAATCCATGAAGTTCAAGGTTTGACATTTTACAGTATCACATGTTACTCCTTCAAAGAAATTGAATAAATTGGTTAAGCATGACTTTTCCCTTTCCGAATCCACGATGACTCTCACGATTATCTTGAGTTGCTCTAAGTGAGCAGTGTTCAAGACATAATGATCCATTTATAATACCTTCCCCATAACACAAGTCTGCCTCACTGGCCTAGATCTTGTTTATTCCCACTCCCTTATTCAAATATAAGGATTATGTATGAACTTTGCAATCTTATGAAGCCTTTTCTGAATCATGGGGATTTTCCCTATTCTAATTTCTTTGTCTTTATTTAATCTGTCATTGCCATCATTATATAATCTGACCAATCATCTGATCTGCCACTCAGTTTTGTGCAGTTCTGTGCTTTCCCTCAAGCTTGATTCTTTCCCTAAATACTGTAGATTTGGGTACTCCCTTTAGGATTTTCCTTTACAGGAGGAATATACTTATCAGTTTTGAGAGATCCCCTTAAAAGTGTGCCACTCTGAAATTCAAACTCATTATGGCTGCTACTACCTAGGGGTGCCTTTTACTCAGAGGTCTTCATTAATCCTGTCACATTACACAATATAACCTACACTCTCTGGTCAGTTCCAGGACCTGCTGTTTCTAAGGAAATGTCTTGAAGATTGTCTGCTTTGATATTTACACTGGTAAAGGCTGGTACTCACTATTTAGTATTTTAGTATTTTCATGATTTTTGAAGCAATGGAAATAAAAATATAAGCCAGAATAGAAATGACCATACGGTTTATACAGTTAGTGTGTTCATTGAAATCTGTGTTCTCCTTGCCTGTTGTATTGCTGTTTGTTTAATATCCAAATTTTTGTCGGTATTTATCTACTTCTAGATATTCATTGTAGTTTGCTTGGGAAATGTCCTAAATTTGACTTCAATTTGTACCAATTGTTAACTTGAAATGTTGTTCTGAATTAACCTTTATTAATTTTATTTCATGGACTTCTCTTATAAGATGGTTCCTTGTTTGTCTCATTGTTAAAAATCCTTTGCTACTGACTGCATCCTCTGACATTATGAATCAAAATCATGATCCTTGTGTGCACCACTTGGAGTTTGTATTTCCCTGTGCCTCTGTAGTCAAGTGTGTATGGTATGATCAACAGATGGCCTTAAATTTGCTTTCAACTCACATGATTTATTGCTGTTTTCGGTTATTGCAGATAGTATATTTAATATCTTGCACCTCTTAAAGAGATCCATTAAACTGCTTAAGGAAAAGGAATGTTTCTCATCTTTTTCTCTTCTCGCATGTGTTATCTTGCATTTACCTGTATTGAATTCCCGTTATAGGAGTTGTATTCACTTGAGAATTTTGTCTAGATCCTTTTGTAGTTCCTTAGACTCAGTTGCTGTACCTAATTTGTGATGTGAAAATCTGGCAGTTTATAATTGTGTACACTTTGTGAACTGGAACCAGTGAAGAAGGCTCATCATTGACTCTAGTGAAATGCCAGCAGTTAGTTTTGAAATTGCATTTCTTTCAGACAGATGGAGACGGCTACTTTAAAAATAATTTTATGGGAAAAGAAATTATCCAATAATTCAAGTTAAGTAACTAATTTCAAAATGGAACAGTACCTTGCTTGTGCTTAAGGAAACATCAAGTACAAAGTTAATTTGGAATAAATGATTTGGAATTAAAACTTAATCTACCAGGGACCTTTGGTCAGTCCTGGTATGCTATAATGGGGATGTTCAATGTCCACTTTGAAATCACTTCCTCAAATCACTTGAGATCTCCCTCATCATGCTTTTGTAAGTTGTCTACTTAAATCAACTCCTCAGTTGTATGCCTTCAGTATTATTCTGCCTTCAACACCATTTGCACTTGTAAGGCATCTGTGTTCTTTTAGGTCTCTTGCTATTTTGCTGTGTTTCTTGAATCTTGTGTTTAACTTTCCAGCAGTGTTAATTTTTAGGTTTATTGTTTACTGCTTGAACCATTTTAGGCCAATTTTAGTTCTTCCTGGGTTCTCTTTGGTGGTCTTGCTCACTCTTCTATGTTAACTTTTGAGATAACAAGGTGTAGAGCTGGATGAACACAGCAGGCCAAGCAGCATCAGAGGAGCAGGAAAGCTGACATTTCGGTTCTAGACCCTTGCTTTTTCTTCACTTTTTTTTTGCATTGTATTCACAATATATTTAAGATCATGCTTGTTTATTTCCAAGAACCCCAGAGTCTTTGATCTGTGATCCTAGTCCTGAATTTCAAAGAAAGGGAATATCTTTTGAGTGTTCTTAAAGGAGTAAAGTGCTCACTGATATTCCTGTAGAAGTTGTCTTTTAAAAGCTGGCTGGCAAATGACATTGCCGGATTTGACATTAAAACAAACCAGTCAGTCTATATCTTTTATCGCAAAGAGAAATCACTTTGTCAGATGTTTGTCTTTTCTGAGATCATTGGTATTGTCAAGTGGACTGTTCAGAAAGTAGTCCTGCATTGCATTTATTTGTTCAAATTCGAGACCACTTGAATAATTTTATTGATTAAAGTTTCTATTTACCATCTACTTAATTGCACTTAAACTTTTTATGTCTCCTTGTTAGGAACCTAACTTTTTTTTCGTATCGACTTATATGTCTGTGGTAAAATCTTCGTCTCTTTTGTTGCTCTCGTATTACACAACCTAATTTGCCTGGAAACTTATTCCATGAGAGTGGCAGATGAGTTAAACCTGGGGAGAAATTTTTGAAATACTGGTTTGAAATATTACAAGTTGGCACAATTGACATCCTTGGGAGAAGTCAATGAACTCAGAACTGGGCCTTAATTTTTGCTTGACTGGGATGGGTTTCTTTGGGACTCAAAGCTGAGGTGAATTTGAGCTGCAGATCATGTGGGTATTTAAACTTGTCTTTGACCTGCCTGACTTATAAAAAATAACACTTACTGTCAGTGCTGTCTGAATTTGGTTTGGTTCATATTTTGCAGATAATTCTTGTGGATATACATTTTTTTCCAACCTTGTGAAGGACCCAGGTTTCATTCCAGCCTTGAGTGACTGTGAAGTATGCACGTTGTCTTTGTGTCTGAGTGGGTTTTCTCTGGGTGCTTGGGTTTCTTCCCACAGCCCAAAGATGTGCGTGTTAGATGATTTGGCCATGGGATATACAGAGTTAAAGGGCTAGAGAAAAGGGGGATAGGTCTGCGTGGGATTCTGTCAGAGGTTTGGTGTTACTCAATGGGCTGAGTGGTCTGCTTCCATACTGTAGAGATTCTGTGAATTTTTTTTGACAATGGGGTTGGAGTGGAAGGTGGCTTTGTATTTAA